TTTTTGAGACAGGGTTTCTCTGTGTAGCTTTGCGCCTTTCCTGGGACTCACTTGGTAGCCCAGGCTGGCCTCGAACTCACAGAGATCCGCCTACCTCTGCCTCCCGAGTGCTGGGATTAAAGGCGTGCGCCACCACCGCCCGGCTTAAAATTTTTTTAAAGGGAGAGAATCAAGATGGAGAGAAACACATGGGAGGGCAGGTGATCTGGAGGCTGGGCTTCTAGTAAGAGCGTGCATGCTTCTGGACCTGCAGCAGCCTGGGGAGTTCTTGAGTGCCTGCAGCTACAGAGAGATGGGCCTGGGTCAGGATTCTTGATGCTTTGGGGTCACGTCTGGGGAGCCAGGAAAACCATCTTGCCGTATCTTGCCAATATATTTTGCCATCTCTGCAGTACTATTTTTACCCCGATGGGGAAACCAAGGCCCAGAGATAACCGTCTAGACTGAGAGCTAGAGAAACAAGGCAGGAGCAGAGCACAGGACTAGAATCATGCTCTTGATGTTGTGGCATAAACCCCATCTTTTTAGGACTAGGCCTCCAAAGCAGGAGTACCACAGGGCTGGGCACGAGTAGGAAATCCAAAAGCACTGATTGCATCTCCTTGTGATGGGACAGGCATGGTGATAGCTGCCACTGCCTTCTTGGTCCTTGCTGTCCTGTCCTTTTAGAATGATGGCATCTGTTTATTGTTCTTTTGAGACAGTATCTTTTATAGCTCAGGCTAACCTTGAACTCCTGATCTTCCTTTCTTAACCTTCCAAGTACTAGATTTACAGGCATGCAGCACCACACTGGCTGATCTGTTAATCTTATGCTTTTATCCACTCCAGACTCCGGGCCTCTGCAGAGGAGGAAGGGGATGGCTGGGGGTGGGGGGTGGGGACAGGGTTGTGGGACAAGTGCTTTAGGCTGGCCTAGTATACTGTGTAGGCTCTGATGTGTCACTGCTGGGTCAGGCCAATACTCAGTCTGAGTCTGTTGCCACATGGATGGTGACAAGGAGAGAGGTGTATTTGTTCTGCCACACGCACACACAAACAGCTTCCTCAGCATTTTTATTAATAATTCATCCTGTAGTCTGGTGGGTGGGGGTGAGGGGACAGGAGCTGTAGGGAAACAGCAGTATGGAGATCATGCCAGGGGAGAAGCTGGCGGACCCAGGAGCCCTGCCTCCATGCCGTGGCCTAGCAACACAGCCAGGTGGCCTCGGGGGCCCTGTTTGGGAGAGTAGAGGCCTGGCGTCTGCTCCAGAGGGACAAAATGTCCCTCCCTGCTCCTACTCTCAGCCTGCAGCTGACCCAGGACACCTGATTTCAATGACTGTGCCAGATGGGAAACAGGCCTGAGGGGTCCAAGGCATGCAGCAAGCCAGCCCTTGGGGAATTAGGTGCTATGAATGCTTCCTGCCACGTCATGGAACCCAGGACACAGGGGCCCACCCGGCGGTAGCGTCATGGAAGGAAAGGGCCTCTCCTGAAGTCCCCCCTCGAGAGGCACAGAAGGACCTCTTCTAAGAAGAGTCAGAGCCTGAGAGCAGGGTGGGGGTAATTCACAGTCTCCTGAGTTCGTTGTCCAAGGACCTGAGTTCTCCTGCAGACTCCATTTCCTGCCTCTGCCTAGTCCTTTTGAGTGCTTAGAAGGCAGGAACTCCCAGCTGGCTGGGCTCTCAGGATGCTCCAGCAGAAGAGTGTAGCCTTCAAATGTAGCAAAATGGTTTGAGGTTAGATTTCTGAAATGATTTCTTCAACAAGCAAAACATGAGAATGGAGAATATACAGCACCTCTCTTAAGGATAAGAAAAAATAATAGGAATCAATATCAGGAATAAATCAGATGCTTCAGGTATCGTTAACGGTATCACATTTAATCTTACAGTAATCAAAGAAATAAGTATTGTTACCCTCATTATATAGAAAGAAGAAACCAAGGCCCTGAGACATGTGTCTGTGCAGGTTAACCACAGCTGTGACTGGCAGAGCCATATGAATGTGCATTTTGTCCTCTTTCCAATGCTGCTGCTTTCCCTGAACAAAGTGCCTGAAACCCACAGAAAAGGGGTTTTCAAAGTCTCAGGGGGTTGAAGATTTAGCTCAGTGGTAGAGTACTTCGCTAGCAAGCACAAGGCCCTGGACTCAGTCCCTGGTACTCAAAAAATAAAAATAAAAAAGAAATAAATCAAAACCCACAATGCCCCGGAGCCTTGTTTTGCACAAAGCGATCTCTTGAGGTTTTATCTAGCATGTCTGGGGGACTGTCCATCTCCACTGTTTAGAATAGTGGCTATCTCATGCCTGCTGAGAGAGAATGAGGTGAGTTTTATTTGTAAGCCCTGAGTTGGGAGCAAATGGAAGGATCTTTTCATGGATCTCAGAATGGCAGGCAAAGATCTGGGAATTAAACCAAAGACTTCTACAGGTCCCCTAGCAGGGCCCGTCCTGGGTTGTGAGCTCTCAGAGCGTATGGCTCCCTGGGTCTCCTCGAGGGGCTTGACTTCCATCATTTGTCACCCCAAGGAGGTGGCTTGGGTCATCTCTCTGATGTCCTCTTCATCAGCTTTGAGAAACTGGGAGCTTCCAGACACCCAGCAAAAAACCTGTCAAGTTACAACAGCAAGGGATTATGCTGTTCCCCTCTCCTCTCTCTCTGGAGGGTGGGAGAATGTGGAGTAGGAAGATTTCTGAAGAGGAGCCCTTCCTGTATACCCACTGATGGCTGGGGTAGGGGACAGTGCACTCTTCTCTCTTTAGAAGGCACTGAGAGAGGCAGATGGATCTGGAAGGTGGCATGAGTGAAGGCTGGAGACCCGAGAACCCCAGCCTACTGGCCTGGCTTCCCAGGATTCGCAGACCCCCCCCCCCAAGACACACACACACACACACACACACACACACACACACACACACACACACACAGGCTGTGGCTACCTCCTGGATTCTTGGCTGCATGTGAGTGAGGATGGCTGCAGGATGTGGAACAAAACAGTCCTTGACCACAGGGTGAGGGCTGAGATTTCTGGCCACTGGGGAATTACAGGCCCTAACCTACACATGCCTTCCATTTGCTCCCCTTCCATTTTTAATTAGAATATTCAGCCCAGGAAATCTGTTTTCCACCGGAACAGTCTTAGAGAAGGTTTGCTGGGGGAATTTCCTTATCTATTTCTCAGCCGGAAAAGCTGTGGGTGGAGGTGAATGTGGTGTGTGTGTGTGTGTGTGTGTGTGTGTGTGTGTGTGTGTGTGTGCAGTATGGTAGGGCATGAGCCACACACACAGTTTGAAGCCAGCTAGGTGGCTTTCTGGGAGCAGAAACCTTCAATGTTGGAAAGCCTGGTTCACTTGTCAATTGCACGGAAGGAAGATGCTGACGTTTGTAAGCCAACAATGATGCTGTTGTACCCACCCCTTTCAGTGCACGGTAGGGACAAGACAGGCACCGTGGGAAAGGTCTGAGACTCTTTGTGAGCTAGGCTGTTTGTATGCTTGTATTGAGGGCAGAGAAGTGAGTCCCTGTGAAGATGCGTGTAAGGAGGCCTGTACCTGATCCCCATGGTTCGGTCCTGGGCCTTCAAAGTTCTTGAGACATGATTCTGTCTCTTCCCCACCCCAGAATCAAATAGTCCCGATTCTGTAGAGAAAAACAGAGTCTGTCAGATCTGGAAAACGTTAAACAGACACAGGGAGCAGATAGCTGAGAGTGCGCCAAGAGATCCTCAAGGTTGGCAGAAGGGGATTTCATTTCTATCGGGGCACACTGGGTCAAGGGAAAGAGGAGGAGAGGGTCAGGAGAGGAATGAATAGGGGCTAACAGCTGCTTTCTTTTTTCACTGAGCTGGAATAGGTGGGAAAGGTTGCCATATGTACTACCCCACGGAAGAAGGAGATTCTAGTCCTATCTGTTCCTGCAGCGCGTCAGCTCTGGGAAAGACAAGACTGTCAGACCGAGGCCCAGAACTGGCAACATACTCCACTCCTGGTTTTGATACCCACCAACCCTTCTTCCCCGGTCCTCCACTGTTCCGAGTCCGGAGCTAACGCCCTCGAGCGGCCACCGAGCGGAAAACCCGGGGCGGATCTCCATGCCTTTCGGAACGGAGTCAGAGGGCACCTCGGAGGAGATGGCCAGCTGGGCGACCCGGTGGCGTGCGAGTCCACCGCCACCCGTGGCGCACGGGCCGAGTGGGTCACGTCTTCCATAGTCTGGACGAACCTAGCCGTGGAGCTCCGCAGCCCTTCCAGGCAGGGGCCTCGTGAGCGTTTGGGGTGTGCGGGGCGGCGGCCGTGCCCTCGGGGCGGCTCCGGGCGGCGGCGGCCAGTCCAGGGCTGCAGTGCAGCGCGTGGCCAGTAGTGGGCGCAGCAGTGACAGTGGCCGTGGCGCTCGGCGGCGGGCGGGCGGCGCCGGCGGTGCCCCGGGCGCACACACACACACACACACGGCCGTGGCGCTCGGCGGCGGGCGGGCGGCGCCGGCGGTGCCCCGGGCGCACACACACACACATACACACAC